GCATTTCTATTATGCCATGGTCAATACTAGGATAGCATAAGAGCTACCCAAACTTCTCTCGCTATGCGGGATAAAAAAACATATGAGTTATCACAAAACTTCTCCCGCCATGCAGGATGGACTAGCATAAGTACTATGCCAAACTTCTTCCCATGCGGAATAAATCTATGTACAAACACGCATACTTAATCCAACGTCAGTCAAATTAGACATGCATGTTACTTATTGCGACTCTTATCATAAAAACATTCACTTATACTTCATTTTCCAATTAAATCTTTCCGTTGGTTCTAATTTAATCAGAAAATTAATAAACTAACAAAAAACAGTCCTGAACTGGCTTGACTCAAGCATTTTCATTTACACAGCCCAGCATTGCAGTCCATTGGCATGTAGCCGCGTGATTTTGTCGGTTAAATAAACAAGGTGCTTCTGCATCAATTCTACATCACCGTTGGGCAGAAAATAGAATTAATGCATAAAACTCATAAATCAACTTGAAATACATATAACTACTCTTCAAAATTAAATTCTTCCGTTGGTTCAAATTTAATTAGAAGATAATCAACATCATTTCAGCGGAAACTTGATAATAAAATACATTCTTTTAGTTCAGGAGCATTTCTTCGTCCTTATCTACTCTCTAAAAAATTAACCACGTTGGTGTAAAGAAAAATTGACCACGTTGGTGTAAAATTTATGAGAGATTTAAACTTCAAACTTAAATTCATTATAATATTGTCATCATCAACGTTGGTCAGAAAATGACAATACCGTAATCTTACTTAAACAAAAACGGACTACTCCTCTAATTTAAATTTTCCCGTTGGTTTCAATTTAATTAGAGGATAAACATAATCATAGTTTACTAAATATAACTGCTCTTCGAATTAAATTCTCCCGTTGGTTCGAATTTAATTAGAAGATTATCAACATTAAACTTTGCAGCGGAAACTTAAACATAATTGGTGAATTTTACCCGCAGGAAAATTCTCTTACTAATTTTCTTTGAGCCATTAATCAATTTCTAGGAAAAAGTACGAAATTCACTAGAAAAGGAAAAAGAGAAACAGGCTCATTCTACTCTATTCCTTCAGCCCGCATAAGAATACGGCCCAGCCTTGCACTTGCGCTGGCCCGCACGGCGCAACCAGGCCACAACTTGGGCCTGGGTCGGCAAAGCCTCTTCCCGCCTGGGCCGAATCTGGCCCGGTGTTTCCTGGCCGTTCATCACGATGGACGGCTCCGCGTCGATCTCGCGCGAGCAAAATAGCTCGACGTCGGCCGGCTCCCGAACCCTGGCCCATTCTTTCTTCCTCCCCTCTTTCTCTCAGCACTGCCATAGCAAGAGCCGAGCGACAGAGAGGAGTGGAGGCGCCCGGTGCTCGCCCGCGCTTAGCCGCACCGTCGAGGGGCTGCTCGTCGGGGCGTGCGTGCGGCCGAGGCTGCGCGCGGCCTCGTTGAGCTGCCTCATGATGGCGCGTGGAAAAGAGCCACGACGCTGTGCATCGGCGAGTGAGAGCGCACGTCGGCGAGTTGTGGTGCTTCCCGGAGTTAATCCGGTAAGTCAAACTCCCCCAACCCCTTCTGCTTCTCTCTTCCCGGAGTTGGTTCGGCCTAGGTTTAGGGTTAGGGTTAGGATTAGGGTTAGGGTTAGGGTTAGGGTTGGGGTCAACCCTTCTGCCACTGTTCTTCTTCCCCGAATCCATCTATATGAGTTAGGGTTCGGGTTTGGGTCGATCCAAAATGGCCGAATCAAACCATCTTTGTTCTGTTATTCTTCCCTTCTAGGGTTAGGGTTTGGAACCCTCTGCTTCGATCCGAGTCGGATCTTTCTCATCTTCTTCTAATTCTCTGTCTCTTCAATTTCTTTTTAATTTTCTACCCCACACTCGATCTACACACTAGAACCTGGCTCTGATGCCATTGTTAGAATCTTAGGATCATCTAGGTGTAGATTAGAGGAAGAAACTGGTACTAGTTGATTCAAAACGATCTTGAACATGAATCGGGAGAGAGAGACATAGAGAGAGAGGCCCATACTTTTGGGGTTGTTAGAGGAGGTAGAGGAGGAAGAACGGAGTGTAGCTCGGTAGAGTTCCGAGGATGGGGGCGCGGCCGGCGGCGCTTCCCGTCACTTGCAGCGCGCCCGCGATCGAAGGGGCTTCTAGGGTTCTTCAGTGGGTCAGTGGCGGCGGTAAACCTTGTCACCCGTGCCGTGGCCCCCCACCTCTCTCTTTATATAGCACTGTGTGACAGGGGGCCATCGACCAGTGGTCGGTTAAGCGTCCCCGATCAAGACACGGTCAAGGGATCCGTGGAGATCAAACTAACATAGGGTAGTTCTTTTTGTGTAACACCCTTGGTGGGGCGCGGTCACGCAGACCTGTGTGGTCTTGTTTTTCTAGGGGAGTTGTTAATTTCTCGAGTGTGTATTCATAAAAAAAAATCTCGAATGTGTAAGATCTTTTTCCTCTCTTAATTAACAGGTAGAACTCTTACCATCCTTTTTTTAAGGGCCACTTGACCGAGCCTTTCTGGAGGCCATTGTAGGAACCAAGATCGAGCCCCTAGCCTCCCACCCTTGGGGCTTAACCGCCTGCTCTATGAGCAGTTCCGACTCTTACCATCCTTCTCAAAAAACAAAATCAAAGAACTTTTAAACCCGACATTATATAACCTTTTCAAACTAATAATACAAAAGAACTTTTGATTCCACTTTTCAGAAAAAGATTTCCAATTAAGCTCGCCATGACTCATGTTGGTGTTCAGCTTACTGAACCATATCGGGCTTCGTCCTATCCTAACAACGACGAGATTGTCTGCAGCAGCAGTTTCCTAGACCCCAACAGTGACCGAGACTCTCGTACGTCAGCTATCTAGCGGAGTGCGGGGTAGCAAATTTGATGCGCTCTCTCTCTCTCTCTCGCCAACTCGCACACGCCTCGTATAGGAGGCACAGGCGGCGCCAGCGACTCAACGCACGCACGCACACAATCACACGCTTACAAAGTTAACCCATTCAGTTCCGCACATACACTGTTGCGTTCGTCTTTGTGTTTCTTAGTCATTGCTTAGCCCGTGCTCTCAGCTCTCACTCCTCTCAGGCTCACTCAGCTCTCGCCTCCCCGTACTGCAGTCAATGGCTAGCAGTTCAATCTTTCTACAGTATGGCATTTTCTTACTTCTGATATCTGAATGCTTGTGGGAAGTGACATGAGTCAAATAATCTCAACGTGGAGCTCTCTCTGGCTGACATCGTCGCTGAAAAAACATTTGGCCCAAGGCCGAGCAAACTAGCTCCTTTTATGTTGGGCTTGGGCTTAACAGCGCACAAAGCAAACATGCCTACGGAGGAGATCGCGTTTCCAGTCCAGGGCCGTGTTTTTCTGTCTTTCAGCCCAACACTGAACTCCCTGTGAAGAAAGCCCACGGAGGAGGCCCGACTTGGGGGCGGCGGAGAAGTTGGATCCCCGTGGACGATGGTGACCCGGGCGGCGGGTGGCGGGCGGTGGTGAGCCGATGAGGGGTGAAGAAAGACCGAGCGGGGAAGAAGAAGAAGCCGACACATTGCATCTCCTTGAAGGCTCTGTGCCTCTGTCCACCACGAGCTCCCTCAATAGTGTGTGCCCGCGGTACCCCGACCTCCGTCCGCCTCGTCGTCCCCAGCGAGCTCGCCAAGCACGCCGTCCCCAAAGCACCAAGATCGTCACCGAGTTCTCTTAGGCCTGCCTCCTTCTGGCCTCTCGTACCTGTTGTGGCTGTTCAGTGCTGTTGGTGGTTGTGGTGCCACATTTTATTTTATTTATCCGTAAGCAGCACGCAGCAGCCAACAGCACGGCAAGTGAAATTGTGAATGGAAGTGGATGCTCGGCAAGCAAATCAGCAAAACAAATCAGATGTTTTCTGAATTCCTACATCTTCCACTGCTCTGACCCTGACTGCCATATAGACAATAGTAAGTTTGAGCTGGCCTGCTTGGTTGAATTTCTGTGAACTTCATTGTTCCTTTGTTCCAGATGGTTATTCTGAACCAGTTGTCTTGTGAAATGCATATGTCCAAATTTTCAAGCCACTCATTTATCGTATTTTGATAAATGATTGAAATGAGGATGTGGAGTAAGGTGAATGAATAGTGATATGTGCCCACTGCTCTGGAGGTTCAAACATCTACTAATATCTTAAGAAGGTAAACCTCCAAGCATTTGTTTTCCCTTTTCACTCGAGAAAAATACAGATCCAAAAGAGGGAGAAACTCCAATTCTAATATATGTCTTCAATTATTTCAGGTGGCAGCATTTCCTAATCTACCTTCAGTTGTGATCATTCCTCTTGCAAATGCCTGCTGCTGGCATCTTCTATAGCTAACAGGGAAACATGAGGTATGAACCTCTGACATCGTGCATCTCTCACCATCATTCGGTCCTTGGATATGTTTTGAGCAGGACATAGCAAGCCTGAAGGCATAAATCCTCAAATAAAGAAACAAAATCCTTGATCTACTCTTCATAATGATATTCTTTGACTACACATGTAGCGAGATTGTTTAAATAACAACTTTGAAAGTTCTCAGAGCACTCCCTATACTTGATCTACTCTTCGTAATGTTGAATGTGAACATACGAAGAAATAACATGCCAATGCTATATACCTTATAATTGTATAGATCTCAGAGCACCCCTATACCCGATGAAATGTGCAAAGATAACTGATTTTGAGTTAAATTGTACCATCGAACAAACTATAGGGAAACAAACAGTTTTCTTATTTGATTTATGTACTGTTCCTTGTATTTCACATAACCAATCTACTTGCATAAATCTGAACTTAAAAAATCCAGATGTCTAAGGACAGAATAATAGAGTCGAAGCATCATACATATCTGCATTTATTTAATGTAAGTGACAACCTACAAATATTTTAATGATGGAATAATAGAGTCGAAGTATCATAAACAGCTTGTCCAATTTCAACTCTACTTATTCACTGTTGTTTGAAAATTACTGCAAAATCATTCCTGTGGCACACTTGATGTATGAATCTCTGATAGCATGCATCTCGTTGACGGCATCTTGTATCAGTGTCCTCTCTCTAGGTTGTTTTCTCGAGCAGGATACCCCAAGAGCAATGACATGAACCAAACATTTCTCAATTATGTTTCTTGTATTGCTGTCATAGGTGCTAGTGTGCAGCCACATTGTCGTATCGGCTATCTCCCAGATTTTATCTGGAAGAGCATCCTCAGAAAACTTATGTAGATCCATTGAACCTCTAAACATATCATCTGTTGGGCTCCTTCCTGTGAAAACCTCGAGCAGCAATATACCAAGGCTATAAACATCACCAAAAGTTGTGACGGGAGAACCTTCACCATACTCTATTATTGTGCAAAAGAAAAAGAAGTGTTGATTAGCATGTCATATTTATAGAAGGATTTGGAATCAAGAAAAAAATAAAACAAAAACATAGCATTTAACAGGAGCAACATAGCCAATGGAGCCTCTTATGCCAATTGTGCTATTGGAAATTTGCAGAATTATACTTTCACTTTCTGATATGATTCTAGATATGCCAAAATCTCCAACTCGGGCACTCATGTCTTCTGCAAGAAGGATGTTGCTTGGTTTGAGATCACAGTGGATGATTGGTGGCTGGCAGTGATTATGAAGATAATCCAGAGCATCCATGATATCAACAGTGATATTGAGCCTTTGTGCGAGGCTGAGAGTATTGTTCAAAGTGGGCATGCCAGATTCTATATGGAGCCAACGATTCAAGCTACCATTTGGCATGAACTCAAAAACCAATGCCTTGAAATCCTGGCCTTGTTCATTGATGCTTGAGCATCATGTGATGATCTTCATGAGGCAGCGGTGGCGCATCCTTCTCAGTGCCTCACATTCGGCTACGAAACTTTTAGTAGGACCTGATTGGTGAAGGTCAAAAACCTTCACAGCTACAACAGTTTCCTCAGATTGAAAAGCACATTTATAGACTGTCCCAAAGCTCCCTTTACCAAGCAAATTGGCTTCGGAGAATCCATTGGTTCCGTTTGATAAAGCATGTCAACCATTGGTGGTTCGAATGCACCCTTCTGCTTTCTTCTTTGCTTCCTGTAGATCAAGAGTGCAATGACAATAGCTAATAGTAAGAGTGCAAAGGTTGTTGCTAGTGCTATTTTAAGATACTTCGACTTCCCTCTGTTCTTTTTCACAGAATCTGTGTTGCATGGAACTAAATGAAACTGGGGTATTCCTCCACAAAGCTTGTTGTTTCCGGTGATCGTCAGGTTAGCAAAATTTCTGAAAATCCCTTCTTCTGGCACTTCCCCTTGCAGATTGTTGAAGGACAAATCCAACATCCACAATGCTGTCAAATTCTGTAGAGCTGCAGGGATTGGTCCTGACAAATTGTTGTGCGCCAGATACAATTGTTCCAGTCCGTTGATACTTCCAATGGCATCTGGAATACTACCGGATAACTCATTCACTGAAAGGTTGAGTGTAGTTAGAGCCTTGTTTAGATATTGGGGTATGCTTCCGTTAAATAAGTTATCGTCCAACCAAAGGTCTTGCAGCACTGTACACTTCCCAATACTTTCAGGTATCTCGCCAGACAACTGGTTCCCCGATAGAATTAGTTGGTTAAGGTTTTGTAAGCTATCGACCTGGGAGTGAAGAGGTCCTGATAGTGAATTGTATGACAAGTCTAAGTAACTGAAAGAAAGTTGAAAAATCTCTCTTGGAATCGAACCGTTCAGGTGGTTACTTGACAAAAAAAGGGCAAATAAACTCTTCAGCTTCCCTATGGTTGGCGGAACTGGCCCCTCTAGATTGCTACTAAATGCACTAAGGATAGCTAACTTTGAAAGGTTTCCGATAGATGAAGGTATTTGGCCAGACAAGTTACTATTGTACAGATAAATTTCAGTCAAGTTTCCTAGCTTGCCGATGCTATCTGGAATTACTCCGGATATGGAGGCATCATTAGCACCAAGGAATTCTAGGCCCACCAGATTGCCGATGGCCGAGGGGATGCTTCCCCAAATCCCAGTAGCACTAATGCCGAGGAACTGCAGTGTTGTTGAGAGATTCACTATTGAGCTTGGTAGGTGTCCAGTGAAAGCGGTGATGTTAGAGAGATCTAATAATTTGAGCTGGCTGCAGTTTGACAAAGAAGCAATAAATTCCCACCCCTTCCCATCGTCAGCTTCTAGCATGTTGCAGGACAAGCATAGATTTTGCAGAGCTCGTATTCTCCCAATCGTGCTAGGCACATGTCCTTTAAGCATATTGTGCGAGAGGTCGAGTTCTTGGAGCGATGTCAGGTTGGAGAGTGAAGCAGGGATGATCCCCGTGAACTGGTTTTTATATATAAAGAGGATTCGCATGCTGGGGAACCTGCTGCCGATATCGGTAGGAAGGCTACCACTGAGCGTGTTCCACTGAATCTGCAACATTTCCAAGGAAGACAAATTGTAAAGGGATATTGGGGGCTCTCCAGAGAGGTTGTTGAAGCCGAGATCAAGAACACTGAGGTCCTTGAGGATGCCAATGCTAGTCGGGATGGTACCTTCGAGCTGGTTGAACGCGAGACTAAAATAACTCAACGATGACAAGTTAGCCAGCGACGCCGGGATCTGTCCCGTAAGGTTGTTGTGGTGCAGGTTGAGCACCTTGAGATGCTTCAGGTTATGACCGATCTCAAGGGGCACGTTCCCGCTGAGATTGTTGGATCTAATGACCATGATCATTAGACTGGTGCAAGAGCTCAAGTTGGCAGGAAGTAAGCCAGAAAAAGGCATTGTGACTCAAGTCGAGGATATGGAGATGGCGCAGACGACCAAGGCTCGCGGGGATGTTCCTGCTGAACCCATTGGAGCTCAGGTTCAGAATCCTCAAGGACGATAGGTTTCCAATGGCAGGAGAGAGGATGCCAGTGAGCCGATAGGATGGGAGGCTCAACGCTACCACTCAGCGGTGTGTGCCCCGACACCTTACGCCCTCCCAGCTGCAGTACCAACCGGTGGTGCTGCGGTTCCACGAAGTAGGTGGGTCGTTGTACCCGTTGCTGATTGCCGCTGCTTTGAAAGCCAGCAACGTGGCCTCCTCGTCACCTTCTATGGCACTAAGTGCGGAGACGGTGACCAAGGAGGATAGCAGCAGCAGCAGGAAGCTCGGCGAGCGCAGCGCCATGCCACCCTTGTTGGATTGTTTTTGGTATCTATATGCTATGATCGACCAAGAGACAGCATTAGTAGCTGTTTGCTTAGTATACACTGCTCGGGGGTGCTATTTATACTGCGACGTCTCTAATGATGCATCAGTGACACTGAATGAGCCTTGCCGGCTGCCCCCAAGCAACTTCAGATAATACTCCTCAGCACTTTGCTCTATAGCCCTGTAACGTCTCTATTGCCCAGTTAAGTGTGTTCCTCAGCTCTCCTGGTGCTTGATGGTAAGGCACCACCGGACCACACCATACACCGTGATCATGACGCTGGCCTAAATAATCTCAATAATATAATTGCACGCAACACTGATTACGCATACCACTAGCGACGAATGAAAGACTTGACTTCTTTTTAGCGTGTGTATGTACGCGCCTTTGATGGACCAAGAGTCCTTAGGAACCATACACTGTGGTTCCATGAAGCAAGCGGGTCATCGCACCCGCTGCTGATTGCCGCTGCCTTGAAAGCCAGCAGCGTGGCCTCCTGATCAACTTTGATAAGGACATAAGCTCTATGCATACGATCATGCTTGGAGATAGAGGACGATGAGATCAGCGAGGGTGTCCTAACCGAGAAGGAGGCTCGAAGCTCATTCGGTTCGAGTCACCAAGGTGGAGGCCTAAATCAAGTTCGAGCTCATCTCGGGTTCCAGAACCAGTCTGTCATAAAACTGGTCACACGGTCGCCACATATGGATGGAAAACTAATTAGATAATGAAGTCAAAGCAAGTGGTCTCACGTCAAAAGCCCTTCGGAATCAACGGGAATCGTCGAAACAAGTCAGCGTCCAGAATCTGCCAGGGTGCTGCGACACCGTCTTTTAATCCATTGGACCGTGTATCGTGTTTGGGCCCATTAGGGAGCGCGTCCAGAGGGGGGGTGACGTCCAAGGCTCTATAATTAGCAGTCATCGCTCTCCTTAGGGTTTGGATTTTATTTAGTTCTTGATTTCCTCGTGAAACAAACGTCGTTTTGCTGCAACTGTGCCGCCAAGGCTGCTTGCTGTGAACCAGGGCTCCAGTTTTTTATCTTGTTCGCCTGTGGCGATTAGTCCTTTTGAATAAAGACCTAAACTCCTTCTCGTTATCATAAGCCTCATATTTATTTGTAATTTCAGACTGCGTTCATCCCGTTCTTGCTTGTGTTCTCGATTCGCTTGCAGAAAAGCCTTCTCGGCGAGGTCAATCCCGTTCGCGTGGTTGATAACCAACGGAGCAGTGGTGTAACGGTTGCGAGGGTCCGAATTAGTCTTGGTTCGAAGCCTAGATCGTGAACGTTGAGTCTCCACCAATCGACGCTATCGTACCTATCGGAAGATCGGGTCTTGTCTACATCAAGTGGTATCAGAGACCTTATTGCCCATTAGGTATACTTTTATTTTTCGTTTTAGATTGTTACTATTTTTGCTTTACCTATAGTCCACAAAAAGCCAAAAAAATATACACCGACACATATTCAATATCCTACAGCCCCTTTGTGCCTTACAATATTTTTTAATTTCAGTTTGCTTTATTGAACGGTCATCCCTCGTGTGTCGTGTTCGTCGTGTCTAGGTCTCCTTCGTGTTCCATGGTACACTAGTTCTATTCTGCTATACGAGCAACAATTTAGAGCATAAACATATTGTAGATCGGTTTTTGTTGTTGGAGGTGCCTGTCATTTTTCTTTCCAAGAATATATCGTGCCTCAATTAAAACAGTAAAGAGCATAGCAGTTTAGGCGTGATCTGTGGCCGAATATCATTGTTTATTTATTTTTGGTCAATCAACCCAGGAAAGAATTATTTCCCTTTTGATTTTCACGTGACCTTTCTTTGCCTTGAAGGAGTCCCTTATGGTCACGTTGATAGTAGCACACCACGTATAGATTATGTGCATATATTTGTCATCTGCTACACTCTAATATTTGTGGAAGATATCTTAGTGCGTTGAAGTCAGAAGATTTGTTATCTTGTGATCACTTTTCCAGTCATGTATCATTCAGTTCTATTTCTTGTTCCTTACGACACATGATCTGAGATTAAAAAAAAGGAAAAGGCAAAACAAGCAAAAAAAAAACGCCGCACAAAAAAAGGCAAAGAGGTGCAAAAAAAAAGAAGAAAAACAAAAGAGCCACACCAAAAAAGAAAGAAAGAAAAAGAAAGTGGAAAAAAATCAGAAGTGCCTGCATCCTTTGAGTCCTCATGCCGAGTTGTATTGTTACTTGCTTGAGCTTGGTCCAGGACGAGTCTAGGCTAGCGACATAGACTAGTTTGGAACTACTTTTCAATCTTGCAATTTTTGAATTAAATTATTGGTATTCCTTGTTACTATATTATGCCTGTCCAAGCTTCACTTTCTTCTAACCAAGTACAGGTTCGCCTTACAACTGTTACACTCAAGCTACAACGGTATCACAGTCACCGATCGATTGCACCGCCTGTTGCTTTGGTAAGAACACTTATAAGACCGTGATAAGACACTTGAGAGTGTGTGACTTTACTCCTTGACCATATCCTATAGTAGCTGATAGGAAAATACATACTTGTGTGTTTTCTTGTTTGATGCTAACAATGACAGGTTACAACACGTACCGATATGAGACATCAATGATGCATGAGCCACGCACTATTGCTGCTACACCTCCTTCCGCAGGTCAATCTATTATTTCTTCCCCGTCTACTTATGATGGTATTGGTGCTGATGAGTACATTGAGTGGGAAACTAAAATAGATAATATTTTTATACAAAGTTATATTTGCGAACGGAGGAAAATTAAAAATGCAACTAGTGTTTTGAGACAATCTGCATCAACTTGGTGGGAGTCTTTAAGTTTTTCAGATAAACCTCACACATGGAATGATATGAAAGATCTTATCAGAGAAAATTTTGTTAATCTATCTCTTGTAATTAATTCAAATGATGAGATGCATCAATTAGATCAATCTCTTGTTATTCCTCCTGCTATGCCTAATCTTTTGCAGGACAATATACAAAAGAGCGAGGATGACGTGACAGAAAATAAGATGCTCACAGCCTCATGTGAAAATTCAGAACCATCAACTATTACTCCTGCTGAACATGAGAGCAAAGGTAATGCTCATGATGTTAAACTCACAGAAGGTGAGAGTCTCTTGATGTGCTGAATTTTTCCACCAATCATGCTATGATAGAGCAAATTTTAGTGGAGCTTTCGCTTGATTTACTTTTGTCACAAGATGATTTGCTTGATGTTTCTTGTGACGAAGATGACTTGCATGATGATATTTATGTTATACCCATTCAATCACTGAAGAATGATCATGCTATATGTGTACTGAAATCGAACACTTGTGCTGAAAATAGACTTGCTATTCATAATGCTAATGAAGTTGATGAGCCGAAATTGTTGTCTTCTTTAAATACTTTGGGTTACATTGAATTTAATGTTCCATGTAATCTTAGTTCTTTAGAGGAGAAACTTTATGCATATGCTGATTTGCCATGGTTCTTTAGACATACATATCATGTTTTTTGGCAAATATAACAACCAAGGACGATATTTGATACAACGAGTTTACATTTGTACAAATCTGAATTCTCCTTTTGTTGTGCAAAGTAATGATCAACTAGAGGACAGTAAAATTAACACTGTTGTTATGCCATATTCCTCTAATTTTGCTTTTCGAATACTAGTGGAATCTAAAGAAATGGAGCATATGTTTCTTGTTAGTACTAATCTTTTGCATGATAGTATTAGCAAAGATCGTGTATATTTCAATCGAGCAGACTACATGTCTGTATGATAAGACATGCTACAAACCTGGACATGTGGTCATATTCTTTCTCACAACATTGTCCATTCTCATTATTTTGGAAACATCATTTGTCCTCATGTTGTGCAGGATCGACTTCAAGCAAAATCGACGCCGAGAATGGCTTTTCATGAAGAAAGGGAGGATCATAAGAACATGAGATCCATGCATACGACCATGCTTGGAGATAGAGGATGAGGAGATCAGCGAGGGTGTCCTAACCGAGAAGGAGGCCCGAAGCTCATCCGGTTCGAGTCACCAAGGTGGAGGCCCAAATCAAGTTCGAGCCCATCTCGTGTTCCAGGACCAGTCTGTCATAAAACTGGTCGCACGGGCGTGTCCGGGCTCCGTTTTCGACGATCCACATATGGATGAAAAGCTAATTAGATAAGGAAGCCAATGCAAGTGGTCTCACGTCAAAAGCCCTTCGGAATCAACGGGAATCGTCGAAACAAGTCAGCGTCCAGAATCTGCCAGGGTGCTGCGACACCGTCTTTTAATCCATTGGACCGTGTATCGTGTTTGGGCCCATTAGGGAGCGCGTCCAGAGGGGGGGTGACGTCCGAGGCTCTATAATTAACAGTCATCGCTCTCCTTAGGATTTGGATTTTATTTAGTTCTTGATTTTCTCGTGAAACAGACGTCGTTTTGCTGCAACTGTGCCGCCAAGGCTGCTTGCTGTGAACCAGGGCTCCAGTTTTTTATCTTGTTCGCCTGTGGCGATTAGTCCTTTTGAATAAAGACCTAAACTCCTTCTCGTTATCATAAGCCTCATATTTATTTGTAATTTCAGACTGCGTTCATCCCGTTCTTGCTTGTGTTCTCGATTCGCTTGCAGAAAAGCCTTCTCGGCGAGGTCAATCCCGTTCGCGTGGTTGATAACCAACGGAGCAGTGGTGTAACGGTTGCGAGGGTCCGAATTAGTCTTGGTTCGAAGCCTAGATCGTGAACGTTGAGTCTCCATCAATCGACGCTATCGTACCTATCGGAAGATCGGGCCTTGTCTACATCAAGTGGTATCAGAGACCTTATTGCCCATTAGGTATACTTTTATTTTTCGTTTTAGATTGTTACTATTTTTGCTTTACCTATAGTCCACAAAAAGCCAAAAAAATATACACCGACACATATTCAATATCCTACAGCCCCTTTGTGCCTTACAATATTTTTTAATTTCAGTTTGCTTTATT